CTGAAAGTATCTAACTGGAGCTTATAGAAAAATTTTAAAAATTAACCTCTTTAACACATAGTATTATTAAGATGTATTTTGTGCAGTTTTGAGTTCATTCTTAATTTTATGATAGATTTGTGAAGAAGGGCAAACTATGGATCATGGCACCCCAAATTCATTCAAGACAATTTCCTGGAATTGAAAATAAAGCTGATGCAACATACCAACAACACGGTAAGTTTTTCTATTCTAGAAAGTACTGCTCAAAAAACCTTGAAGATTGCCTATCGTCTAAATAAAACTTAAAAAATATATATGGGGGGCAGGGCGCCTGCGTGGCTCAGTCGGTTAAGTGTCTGACTCTTTTTTTTTTTAACTTTTTTTAAAGATTTTATTTATTTATTTGACAGAGAGAGAGACAGCCAGAGAGGGAACACAAGCAGGGGGAGTGGGAGAGGGAGAAGCAAGCTTCCCGCTGAGCGGGGAGCCCGATGCGGGGCTCGATCCCAGGACCCTGGGATCGTGACCTGAGCCAAAGGCAGACGCTTAACTGACTGAGCCACCCAGGCGCCCTGAATGTCTGACTCTTCATTTCTGCTCAGGTCATGATCTCAGGGTCCTGAGATTGAGCCCCGCATCAGGCTCTGCACTTAGCAGGGAGTCTGCTTGAGATTCTCTCTCTCCCTCTGCTTCTCTTCCCACATGCCAGCATGTGTGCTTGTGCATGCGCTCTCTCTCTCTCTCTCTCATTCTCTCTCTCTGTAAAATAAATCAATCTTTTTTTTTTTTTTAAAGAATATATATGTGGGAATTATCTAAAAAATCTTGGGGTATTATGGTAATTTTTCCTTCTAGGTTTCTCATTTTCCAGTCATTATGCAATGTTTATTACTTTTTTGTATATTACTTTTTAAATCAGAAAATATATTGTTTAAGAATATATAGTAACTTATACTTTAGTGTTTGAGGGTAACAAGGTGAGGCCAGGCTGCTTTAAAAATAGACTTTTTGCTCCACTTGTTTAAATATTAGGGATCTTTAAATATATTGCAATTTCTTGTTGTTAAAACCACGAAAGTCCCATTTTCTCTAGTTTGTTTTCATTTCCATTATTCATTGCCAAGCAGTCCAGATTTTTCCCTTTTCAAAGACGTTTGGGCAGGGATGGGCTAGAATGGGTGTTCTATTCCTGGTTGTTTTCTCTTGCAGTTCTGGTTAAATCCGGTGGAGGTGGACATCCCAGTAACCATTCTTTTTAACAAAGCACAATAAAATTATAATTCATTAGAAAGTGAACCCAGGGGGCCACCTGGGTGGCTCAATTGGTCAAGCATCCAGCTCTTGGTTTTGGCTCAGGCTGTGATCTCAGGGTTGTAAGATCGAGCCCCCCGTTGAGCTCCATGCTCAGAGTGGAAACTGCTTGAGTTTCCCTCTCTCTCTCCCTCCATCCCACTCTTGCTCTCTCTCTAAAATAAATAAAATCTTTTTTAAAAATTAAAAAAAAAAAGGAAAGTGAGCCCAGAAAATTAAGTCTTGACTTTCAGATGTCATCCTCAAGTAAGAATTAAAAAGAATTTCCTTTTCCCTTGCAGATTCTATTTCTTTCTTTAGGGGATCCACGCAGGATGAACACAGCCATCTCTGTGGAGTGTGTGGTTCAGATGTGGGCAGTCAGTGCGCCCGTAAACTGCTGGGCTTCTGCTTGGCAGCTGCAGCTTCTGACCTGAGTCCTTCTGCGCTCGGCACCTGGCCTGGGGATGACGCCATGGCTGTGCATTAGCGGGTCAGTGGGGTGCTCATGTCCGTGATCGAGTCTTTACATTCTAGGTTCGTGCTTCTGTTTATGGGCATGGAACCCATTCCCTGGGGCGGGGGGGGGGAGGGGTGTGGAAATTCAGAAACTAGAACAAAGCAACCATCAAAGGGTATTTACAAAAACCATTACTACCTGCCCTTGCACAGTCAGATCACTGGGCTTTCAGAAAAATAAAGATACTAAGTGTCATTGTCAACATTGTTAATGTACAACACTCTAAACTGAAGCCAAAACTTTTATCCTAAAGGTTCTTTGGCTTACAGAATTTTCATAATTTTTATCCAACTCCAATGGCCTTTGTTCCTATTTTTCTTGGTCTGGAACCACCCCCCATGCTTTACTCAGGGGTTGGTCATGGACATTTCTGATTCTCTCTTGAGTGATGTTTTGGACTTAGAAACAGATGATGACGTCTGTTTTAAAAAGTCCCATATTGCTTAGGTCTGAATCAGCAGGAGATACACATTTCTTATTCAGTCCAGTTTTGTTTGCTCATTCTACAGGTTTTCACATTTCCAGGGATCCAGTAGGCTTGTGAGAAGCATTTGTAAATACCAGCTCAGCCTCATTATGTTAAAGGTGTCCCTTGAAACCACAAACCACTTCACCAGTCCTAGCCAGAAGGCCTGGCTTTCATTCTCACAATTAACAGCCTGAGATAAAGACTTGTGTTGACAAGAGATTTGCCAGCACATTTCCAGGTGATGACACATCCTGATCACCAGATAAGCTCACTCCTCCGAGAACAGTAGCGACAGACAAGCAGTCCGGTTCTTTCCTGTAGGAATCAACTTCTATTTTAATCTTCCAAACGACTTTTATTTACCTTACTCAGAACACTACCGAATGTGAATAGCATGTTCTCACTGACCTGTGTGTGTTTTTTATTTTGCACTGTGTATGTTCTTAGGTGAAATGAGAAACTAATAAAACACTAATGCTGTCTGATAATAAGCATCATTTTTGAAGTTGATAAAAACAGTTATTTTGTTAATAAATAAACATTTATTTGTTTTCATTGTTCATTGAAAATGTGTTCTTTGCAGGGAGATAATATTGTAATCATCCCAAGAAAAAGGCTCTTATCCTTCATTCTATCTTCTTAGTGACCAGCACGGTATCCCCCATAGTTGATGTCTGATCAATATTCATTGACTTAATAACTAAAGTGGCTCTTTTTTTAAAACTTTATTATGTTATGTTAGTCACCATACAATACATCATTAGTTTTTGATGTGGTGATCCAAAATCCATTGTTTTTGTATAATACCCGGTGCTCCATGCAGTATGTGCCCTCCTTAACACCCATCACCGGGCTGACCCATCCCCCCCCCCAAAACCCTGTTTGTTTCTCAGAGTCCATAGGCTAAAGTGGCTCTTTAAAAAATTCTAGCTTAAAGTGGTAACACCTACAAATATGTGAGAACCTACAAGTACAGTCAACTATTCGATTCATCTATCCCACTTTCATCTGCTTCTTAACTTTTTCAGGACTTCTTTTTTAAAATCGAATGAGACTTTAAAAGGTTATGAAATTTTATTGGTAAAAATAAATGATTTCAAATGAATTAATTTCCTATAAGCTCAGTAGATGAATCAAACTTTTCGATAATTATCACTTAATCTAAAATTAACTGCTGTTCACGGAAGAAGCTTAAAACAAATGATAGTTTTGCATTGCTGGTTGAGCCTAAATCTAATCTTGAACTCATTGGAAATATTTATTGTAGGGATCTATTTGGCTCTGTTTTGGAAAAAGCATAATAAATTGCCCTCTACTGATTGCTTCCATTTCATAGGTTTTAGGTTTTTCTGGTCACGTCTGAGGTGCTGGCCAATCCAGATGACAGCATGTCACTCACGTGTGGGGTACAATTTCCCTGCCCATCCTCATCTGTACTCAACGCTCCTTGTCTTTGTCTTCACGTGTTCTGAACCTGAGCTCCTGTCTGACTCCTAATCACATAAATTAACTTGCATTTTCAGTCATTCAATCAGAATATCATGACTCGTATTTTTCTATCCATTTACCTCTATGGGGCACCAAGGATGGCATTCCGACATCATGGTACTAAAGGTGGGACGTTCTGAAGGCCCCTAATGGACGATTTTCCTGAGGCTTTGGACCTCAGGTACTTCCACTACTTAAACTTAAAAATCAAAATTAAGAAACTTGAAACTGGCCATGAGCTTACCTAGAGCCCTAGTTTTCCTGGGTACTCCCAGAGGTGTGGAAACAAAGCAGCTCCATTTCTGAGAAAATTTCTGAGAATTAATGAGGTATAAGCCATACCAGATGGTGTTTAAAAACATGGAGTCTTAAGTCTATTGGCTTGGATTCAAATGCTGACAGTACCATTTAGTAACTCTATGACCTCAAACAAGTATTTAACATCTCTGTGTCTCAGATTATTCATATGTAAAGTGAAAACAAGCCTTCTTGTTTCAGATGTGCTTCTAAGGCTGTTGTACGGATTAAATGAGATCATGCCTTTTAAGCCTAGCAGGTAGTAATCCCTCAGTATGGGTTAGCCATTATATTGTATTCCCATATCATCTTCTACCTCTTCCTGGACCTGTAGGGAATTCATGGAGGATTCCATGTTCATTGAGAGTCACACCAGTGCCTTTAAATTTCAAATGTAGCATTTAGTCCTGTGGATGTGCCCTAGTCCTTTTGAGCCTCCAAGCTGGGGTCTGGTCCAATTCTGTGGCCCTCAGGTACACACAATGTCTCCCTCTGGAATCGCTCTAGGGAAAATGATGTTTAGAAGTCACCAGGTTATAGATCTTCTAGAAGCAGGATTAAGTGTCTCTAAGGAAGTTAAGAGCATCATCTTGATACTCTCATCTGAAAAAAATTAAAAGTAGCTCCTTTCCTCCAGAGGGAAAAACATTTTTGCCCAGTAAAGTGAAAATTTTACTACTCTCTGCTTCTTCCCACAGTATCCGTAAATATGCTGAGGCCATTTATTTTGCCAGATGGTTTTTGAGACACTGCTGAAATGAGAGATGCCCTCATTTTATATTTCCCTCAAATTCTACCACAAACCACACTTCTTGGGAGAAAAAAAAAAAAAAGTTGCCATGTAAGCATGTTTACCTTCAACGGACTAGGAAGCGGGAACTTGTCCATAAATGATGAGTCACCACGGCAGGTCTATAAAAGTAAAGGTGCTTGTCTGGGAGAAGGCAGAGGCCCCAGGCACAACCATCATGATGCTCCCAGGCATCCTGGCTGCCTTCCTCTTCTTGAGCTGGACTCAGTGTTGGTCCCTGCCTCTTCCCAGCAATGGTGAGGACGATCTGTCCGAGGAAGACTTCCAGCTTGCAGAGGTAGGGTATCTTGCCAGTCCCAGTGGGATGTTACATCTCACAAGTTCCCTTCTCTTTTAAAAGCAGGCCATTCTGGTTTCTTTTCCAGCGCTACTTGAAATCCTACTACTATCCCCTGAATCCCGCTGGAATCCTGAAGAAGTCTGCAGCAAGTTCCGCGGTTGACAGGCTCCGAGAAATGCAGTCCTTCTTCGGCTTAGAGGTCACTGGCAAACTTGATGATAACACCTTGGACATCATGAAGAAACCAAGATGTGGGGTCCCCGATGTGGGAGAGTACAATGTTTTCCCCCGAACTCTCAAGTGGTCCAAGACGAATCTAACCTACAGGTAAATCAGAGGCTATCTTTCTTTAATCTTTGTTAGTTTTTAAAATAGTATTAAGTGCCTAATTTTCAGCACAAGCTATAAATGACAGAACATGTTTGGTCCCATTTTTTTAAGTAGGCTTTAAATATTTAACTAGAAGTTAAATAATTCCAGCAATAACTTTAATACTATTGGTGAGAATGCGTCATGACATCTATTATTGTTACATTAGCCTAGCATTATTTTTCGTTGGAAATCTCAAGGTATTTTTTTTTTTTTAGAAAAGAAATCAAATTAGAAGTAAAAGTAGGTATAATAAAATTTGCAAATGTACTACATGAGGCATATTTATTAAAGAGAGCTTAAAAAGGGAGAGTCCTACTCTCTCTAGGAACTTGACAAAGTTATTTCATTTATTTAGATCACAGTAATACAATTCCAAATCTGTATCATACAAGTTTCATTAAATATCTGAATACTTTAAATGTAAGATTCCAAGTGGTCAGATATTTGGAGATACTCAAATATCTGACTGAATTCATTTTGTTATCTTTGTATGGCATCATAATTGATAAGTTCTTTGAAACTTTGAACCTCTAGTAGAAATTTTAAAGAAGCCACTGCATTTTGAGTTGAAAAGCAGTATTCCAAGAAAATATATTCTCAAATATTTCTCCTTCCAAAAATGTAATTGAAACTTTCTCTGTTGAATAGGATTGTGAATTATACCCCTGATCTGACTCATTCTGAAGTTGAAAAGGCATTCAGAAAAGCCTTCAAAGTTTGGTCAGATGTGACGCCTCTGAATTTTACCAGACTTCATGATGGCACTGCTGATATCATGATCTCTTTTGGAATTAAAGGTAATGATGCAGAATCATTTTTGAGAGACATTTTTACATTCTGCTCCCTAATTGTCTCCATTCTTTTATTCCTTCTTTCAGTCATTCATTACTTTTTACAGAATTCACCAAGCATTTGTGCCAGGGACTGCTGGATATAATTAGATTCTTAACTCTTGCTTTTTGTGTGTAGAGCATGGCGACTTCTACCCATTTGATGGACCCTCTGGTCTGCTGGCTCATGCTTTTCCTCCTGGGCCAAACTATGGAGGAGATGCCCATTTTGATGATGATGAAACTTGGACAAGTAGTTCCAAAGGTAATATTTCTTATAAAGGTATGATTCATGATTACTAGATTAGGGTTAGACAGTGATCACATTGATAAGAAGTTAAGAAGCATACTGTAAATTATATTTGATAGTTGGTTATATTTTTCAAAAAATTAAAAGTTTATCTTATACTTATTTGTCTCTACAAGTGACATTTCTACAGACCTATGTGAAACACTAAAAGTGAACAGTTTAGTTTAGCGACTTGAGGGATACTAGCTAACTTTGAATTAGGACCAAAATGTCTTTCTGTCAATCAACGTGTTGTTACTGTGGATTACCTTTCAGTGTGTTTAGGAAGTACAGTTTATTACAAATACATACCTAAAAACTATTGGGGCTGGTTAGGCAGGTCACAGATGAGTTGGATGTGAGTTGAAATAGTTTTTTTTTTTTCCTTGACAGAAACATTAATGGCACAAAAGTGTAATCTGTTTTCTGTTCTCTGTTATATGAGTTACTTGTTTCAGACATATCTATATCACTGATTTTATAAATACTATCCCAACAAATCAAGATGGTGTCTTACTCCAAACAGCATGAAACAGACCAGATAAAAATTATACTTATAAGAGCAAAATGAAACTCAGTGTTGAATGAATTCAGTCAGTAGATGAATCTTCAAAGCTCAAAAGAATTGGGAATATTAATTTAAGAGGAGCGAGATTGTTCCAACTAGGACTTACCTATGGAACTATATTGACCCTTGGTTGTGACAGTTAGAGGTAGTCTCCATAGATAGCTAATTGTTATTATTCATTTAAATCGGAAGAATTGTTATTCCAAAGAGTAAAACTGGGCCTTGGCTGACCAGTGCCTCTGCTTCAATGCCTCCAATGTATCTTTGGAAGGAGAGGTGAGAATTTACGTATTTATGTTCTGAATATTACACAGGTAAGAATGATTTTAGGAAGAAAGACTAACGTCTAGTATTGTTAAGATAGAGCCACAGTAAACCTCAGTTTTAGGCTCCTGCATAAGTTCTGTATTTGAAATATTAATGGAAATGAATGAAAATATTCATAAACAAACCATGATTGATTTTTCAGCTAAAGGCCAGGAATGGGATCTATCACTAGTCATTTCAATGAAGAATTGCTTTTTACTCAGATTATGTGAACTTTGATTGCTCTTATGGTCTGCATGATTTACCAAGTTGGTTACACATTTTCTTCAGGCATAGGCTCTGACAGCAAATGGTATTTAAGGTCAAACTGAAACCACTGACTCCAGATTCCATGTGGTTTTTTTTCAACTTTTTATCTTTTTTTGTTTTCAATTTAAAATATCAGTATTAGGAGGCTCAGAAATTGGTAGAAAGAATGACTAGAGGAAATAATGTAAATACAGTGACACAGTAGTCTTCTAAAATCGAGGAAAGTTGGCCAATCATTTCCAGAGTTTCTATTCCTTTAAACTTTAGAGTCTAGAGATATTCTGGAAAGGATCACTTGGTTGGAATTTATTCCCAAGTAGATTCCCAGAGACCCTATTTAGTGCATGCTCCATAATTGGTCGTCATCCATTTGCATGATGCCTCTTGTTTAGACAATGTTCTAGAAACGCCCTGATAGCTAGCTCCCTATGTGACTTCCCATGACTCCTTCTTCAAAGCTTCCATTGTCCACTTTCCTCACCTGCCCTGAGAAAACAAAGAACGCATCAAGATTCCTAGTGCCTTCCCAGTAAATCCTCACTGATTCCCAATTATTTGAGAGCAATCTGTTGATATTCTAATTAGGTAGGCAGCTATAATCAAAGAGAACATTAAATTATAAGGATTAATTCAATATTTTGAATCTTCCTTTGAGCAACCGAATATTGAATATTAAAAAGAGTGAAATAGCCAAGAAAGAGAAAGAGGCAAAGAAAATAGCATTCCATCCATTAACTGGTCACTGCCTTGCTTTCTCATCATTGCTTTGTTTTCTTTTTTTTTTTAAAGATTTTTATTTATTTATTTATTTATTCATGAGAGACAGAGAGAGAGAGAGACAGAGAGGCAGAGCGAGAAGCAGGCTCCCAAGGAGCAGGGAGCCTGATGCGGGATTCGATCCCGGGACTCCGGGATCATGACCTGAGCCGAAGGCAGACGCTTAACCATCTGAGCCACCCAGGCACCCTCATTGCTTTGTTTTCTTACAGGCTACAACTTGTTCCTTGTTGCTGCCCATGAGTTTGGCCACTCCTTAGGTCTCGACCACTCCAAGGACCCGGGAGCACTCATGTTTCCCATCTACACCTACACTGGCAAGAGCCACTTTACACTTCCCGATGATGATGTACAAGGGATCCAGTCTCTCTATGGTAACTCTTAATTTATCAGTCTAGAAACAGAATAGATGCCTACATTTACTTGCAAAATTATCAGTGAATTTATCATTACCAATATTGCTGTCCTGGTCCTGTTATTAAAACCTGGGAAGACATGCCCAGTTTTCCTTTCTGAATCAGATCATCTGCTCAAGTAGAAAATACTCTATTCTCCAAAGATTTTGCAGATTCCTATTTGTATTTTATACCTTGCAAGTTACGTTTGAGTCCCACAAAACACCTCTGACATAAGGAAGGAAAATATTTTATTCCCCATTTAACCAATGAAGAAACCACACCCTGTAGCGCTTAAATAGTGTATCTCTAGTACCATGACTGAGGGTGAAAGTGTGGTCTTAACCAGCCTTTATAAATTCTGGGTATTCCTTCAACCATGTCAGTTTGCCAACGTAGGAACTGTTCAGGTGGCCTGTGGTGACTTTTAATCAACATCTACAATGACCATTGTAAGAATCTCCTCCTTCTTTTTTCTTCCAAATTTTCAATAATATTTATAAAATAATTAAACCTCACCTCAAACCAGCAAAATTGCCTCTATTAATAGAGTTAAAGTTATCAATGTAAACACTTCTAGAGCAGCGAGCTCAGAAAACTTGCTCATGGCACCTGGCCCATCATTCCCCCTCTGGACTGAAATCTACTACAGCAGCTCATGTAGGTGTGGGCAAGTGCTTTGTGTTTCTTACTATTTCTACAATATTGTGACCAAGAGACTTGATGATAGAACTAATATGAACCAGGTGGAGAAGAAGCAGCTCAGAATTGTTACTGTGCATGCATGGCACCTGTTTTGCACTCACCTGAGCTGGGGGAAAGCTACAAACTCGTGGCACATCAGGGCTGCTGAAGGCCTGGCTGCACACTCACAGCAGTGGTACTGGGGTTAACTGGTGAAGTGATGGTGTCAGACGTTGCTAGCTGGTAAAAGAGGCAAGAGATAGAGCAGAGGTGAGGACTCCCACAGGGATGGTGTGCCCCCAGGAGTGGCTTGAAGAGAAATGTGTATCTCAAGAGCAGCCTGTCCATAGCTTGTGCCAAGGATGGGGAAGGTTTCCTCTGAGTCTCGTTCCCTTCCCCATCCACCCATTTCTATCACCAACCTCAAGAAACCCAAAGATGTAGTTGAGAAGAATCTCAAGGGGTCTTGAGGATGGAAGCAGGAGGAGCAGGCCCACCCACAAGAGCTTGGTGACCCTGCAGGAAGGAAGTAGAATTGCACGGTGTTTGGATCCTGGTTGTAGAAGCTGAGGACTTCCTGCCCTCCCTGGAGGGGACCCTGCGACTCTCCACTAGCAGGGGCGGGGCATCAGGAAGTCTGGCCTCACCACCTTCTTCGCTTCATTTCATGCCTGCAGGCCCAGGAGATGAAGACCCCAACCCTAAACACCCCAAAACACCAGACAAATGTGATCCCTCCTTATCCCTTGACGCCATCACCAGTCTCCGAGGAGAAATGATGATCTTTAAAGACAGGTACTCTTGATCTTATTTTACACAATCTGCATGTCATGGACATTTCTGATGCTGTGTCTGCAAATAGCCAAACATTCAGTCACATTTCCAAAGGAGACGTTAACAGCAAAAATCATAGATTTTTGGTAGTTTGGGTTTTTTGGTTTTGTTTTTTTTTACATGTTTCAGATGAAATAAATGACTAATGGATAAACACTTTACTTTTCCATGGCTAATCTTGGCATGATGCAGCTTCTCTTTACAATGCTGGTGGCACTCTTCCTCATAAAGATAACCAAGTAAATATAGAAACCCAATTTATTTATTTGAAAACACAAGTATTGAAATCAGTTACCATATCAGTAAACCGTGACAACGTCCACTTGAGTTCCTTTGGGTCTGGAAAGACTTTTGTTCTGGTGACACATGTGGAAATTTGAGAGAGTGTTTACAACCTAAACCTAGGGGTAACGAAAAATGAGATATGAATTTCTCACTTCTACCTTGTTCTAGTATTGTTTGTTCATTTGTTCACTTATTCATTCATCAGTTGCTCACAGCAAACTCTGTATTTTCACTTTGGTGCTAGATTCTTCTGGCGCTTGCATCCTCAGCTGGTTGACGTGGAGCTGTTCTTAACAAAATCCTTTTGGCCAGAACTTCCCAACCGTATCGATGCTGCATATGAGCACCCCTCCCGGGACCTTATCTTCATCTTTAGAGGTAAGCCTCTCCCCACGTGTCCAGGGCAGGCAGTGATGAACTTGATGCTCCTGGAGTCTTAGCACAATGACCACTCCTGAAAAAATACCCAAGTTAAGAGCCAAGCATAACAAAATATTAAGCAGAACATACTTGGAACCTTTCTACCAAATGTCCCCAAATTTGAAAAGTAAAAATCTGCATTAGTACTTATCCTTACAAATGTACTATTTGTTGTAGAGCAGTCATGTCAGTTTTTTCTTACTTCCTCTTAAAAATTATTTGCTGAGCAGACATTATGACAATATACCTCTTGAAACATTGAAAAAAAATATTATCCATAATTCCCCCTTCTGAAAAGTTGATTTATTTCATTTTCTCACCTTTTTTGGGTAGTCCTTCACCATATGTAATGTATTTTTGAATATTTGTATTCATAGTATATATACATTTTCATATTTTACTTGTTCTCTTGACACAAAATCACAGACAGTTTTCCAAACTGCTATTCCGTCTTCATGATCATCATTCATAATGGCTACATAGCACTCTACTGACATTGTTTCTGTTGTTTGACTATTACAATTAATGCTATAATAAAGTCACTTTCTATCTGGTATAAAAATCTGAGTTTTCAATCTAATTCACTGTTCCCTCTGCCCTGCTTATTCGTGAAGAAATTTTAATACATTTTCCACACAGCTCCAGATTAACAGTCAGAGGTAATATGTTGCCAAATTAATTATATCTGGTTGGTAATTATACTCAGGAAGTTAGCATTTTAAGTCTTATTTTTTTTGTTTGAAGAATGCTCATATTTCTGTGTTTCATAAACATGGTGACTACAGACCCTAACTGATTTCTAAATGTATAAAATGTATAAAATGAGTCTTTCTTTGTTAAAGTAAATATCTACATAATGTGAGTCCTAATAGATTCCCTTGGATAATAAAACCATTCTTTCACTTATTCTAGGCAGAAAATTTTGGGCTCTTAATGGTTATGACATTCTGGAAGGTTATCCCCAAAAAATATCCGAACTGGGATTTCCCAAAGAGGTTAAGAAGATAAGCGCAGCTGTCCACTTTGAGGACACAGGGAAGACACTCTTCTTCTCGGGAAACCAGGTCTGGAGGTAAGGCCACCATGTTTACTGACCCATGACCCTGTGTCACACGGGCCAAATGAGTCCCACACTGCTCTCACTAGTTTAAATAATTCTCTCATGCTCATCCAGTGGAGAGGTTGGCCAGGAAGCTGCTGGGCCCACGGTTTTTAAAGTCAGCCCCTTTTTGAAGGACAGGGGGAGTTGGAATATTTAGAACATATGTCGATATGAAGGCAGCCCTGACCCTGGCAACATTTAAGAGCTTAGAGCCATATATATATTTGGGAATGAGAATATCTCATAGGAATCCCACACTTGAAAGATTTAAATCAGTAGCTTTACTTTATGTGTACACACACATGCACACATTCCCATCTGTGTCATCGTTGCTGTTTAGCTTCCTTATTTCTGACAATGACATTCACTACTGTCTAAATACTATGACCAAGTTCTCCCCGGTACTGCTGTTCCAGTCCCTATGCCCTAGATAAGGTCTGTGGTGCAATGAGGGCGTGTGACTTACCAGACTGCAAACACACTGTGCTTTTATCCCCCCATTTGGCTGGAAGGTCTTTCCCTTGCATCTCTCCCTCTTGAAATTCTACCCTCTCTTCAAAGTTAACTGGAAATACCATTTAACCTCAAAGTCTTTTGGAGCACCCATTCACAGGCTGTCTCTTCTCATATCCTCTCATGGCACTGGATGTCTCCTTGTCATGATGCTTGGCTTCCATTGTTTAGTGTTGCCTTGTAGACATGTCCCACCTCTCTCCACAGTTTAGTGGTTCTTGTCTTTCACCTATTGGAACGTATCTCGAGGATAGGAAACTCTCATCAGTAACAGTAACAGTGGTACATGAAGGGAGGCTGTTCTAGCCTAATTTCAGGATGTGTGTGCTTTGCTAGGGTGTGCCTGTGTGCAGGGGAGGTGGATTATGGAACTGTAGCAATGGTAGGGGCGAGCCATGCTCCCCTGCCTAGCTTCAAAACCACCAGATGCCCTGATAACTTTTTAGTCCAGGAGTTATACATCCAATATTCTGGCATCCGTTATTGCACTTAGCGAGCTGTCTCACCCATGGTGGGAAATCAGTACATAGTTGTTCAATGCACAAACATGTATTTATTTTGGTCTAAGAACACTTTCCTAATAACACACTTTTATAACAGATATGCAGTTTGTGAAATGGATATGATCTTGTGATTATCTTTACAAAGATGGCCTTTAGACAAGGTAACAAATGCTCAGCGAGCATCCACAATGCACCCAATATCATAATTCCTAATTTGCAAAAGCTACCAGATGTTCTAAACAGACTTAAATTTTACAACTCTTGTCAATTTTGTTTTTTTTAAATTAAAAAAAAATTTTTTTAAAGATTTTACTTATACATTTGACAGAGACACAGTGAGAGAGGGAACACAAGCAGGGGGAGTGGGAGAGGGAGAAGCAGGCCTCCCGCCGAGCAGGGAGCCTGATGCGGGGCTCAATCCCAGGACCCTGGGATCATGACATGAGCCGAAGGCAGACACTTAACGACTGAGTCACCCAGGCACCCCAACTCTTGTCCATTTTGAAAGGTGTCATGATATCCACTGTATCATTTCTGAAACAATTTCTAAGAAATACGACCTACTTAAGAGTTTCTTTTTCTTACTACGTAGCTATGATGACACTAACCAGGTCATGGATAACGACTACCCCAGGTTAATCGAAGAGGACTTCCCGGGGATTGGTGATAAAGTGGATGCCGTCTATCAGAAAAACGGTAACTAGTTCCATCATGTTGATCTCAATGGGGATTTTCTGTAGCCCCTCAAAGTATTTCCCTTAGAGAGCAGTTTTATACAGGACTTAAAGGTGCTAAGAAACTTATGGCAGTTAAGGAATAGTTACATAGGCAGCAAACAAAACATAACACACTTAGAATAAATGAAAGTGTTGCTCAAATGATTGCTAATTCTTTAAACTTTAAACACTATCTTATTTTTTAAGATTTTATTTATTTATTTATTTATTTGAGAGAGGGAGAGGAAGAGAAAGTGGGGGTCAGAGGGAGAGAGAGAACCTCAAGAAGACTCCCCGCTGAGCATGGAGCTGGACGTGGGGCTCGATCTCATGACCCTGAGATCATGACCGGAATCAAAACCAAGAGTCAGACGCTTAACCGAGTGAGCCACCCAGGTGCCCCAACACTATCTTAAATTATGCTTAATGAGGGCGCCTGGGTGGCTCAGTTGGTTAAATGACTGTCTTTGGCTCAGGTCATGATCCTGGAGTCCCGGGATTGAGTCCCGCATCGGGCTCCCTGCTCAGCGGGGAGTCTGCTTCTCCCTCTGACCCTCCCCCCCCTCACGTGCTTTCTCTCTTTCTCTCTCTCTCAAATAAATAAATAAAATCTTAAAAAAATTATGCTTAATGATGCCAAGAGTCAAAAATTATTGCCATAATTTAAATCAGGGGTAGAGTGGGGAGTCATTTATATAGAAAGACCAATGACTACTGTAACTATATAGTTATTTTTGCTTTAATTACGAAAAGGGGCATTTTTCCAAACTCAAATAACTAGTATCAATACGTCAAGCATCAAAACTGGAACTCATGGCAAGATGACCACGATTTCAGGGTGATAATTCAGGAGACCCCTGAGAACCTTGTACTTTTTTTCCTCCCTTAAACCATAAGCAATATAGTAAGGCATTCGTAGGGTTTTAAACATAAATGTTGGCATCTTAAAAAACAATGGGATCTAACAGGTTGTACTTTTAACGTGAGCTGGCGTAAACTCTTACCGATTTCAGACTCTGAAATTTTCTTTTTGGTCTTTTCCTTATAGGTTATATCTATTTCTTCAATGGGCCCATACAGTTTGAATACAGCATCTGGAGTAAGCGCATTGTGCGCGTCATGCCAGCAAATTCCCTGTTGTGGTGTTAAGTGTCTTTTAAATATTGTTATTTAAATCCTGGAGAGCATTTGAGAGAATACTTCCAGCGATACTGGGTGTGGGGGACGGGGATGTTGGGGGAAAAGCTTAGTTCTGTGAACAAGCTTCGGTAACTTATCTTTGAATAGATGGTATCTGGACAGTGACATGTGGCTGGAACCACAATGAATTTTAAAGTAATGGAATATTCAGAGACCGTAAAGATCACCTAATTCTTGCGCGCTACACGGAAGCAGCAGTCGACAGTATTTCCCACAACAGAAATGGGACATATGGTGTGTCAAAGAGAGTTAGCATAATGTTTAAATATATTTATAAGGAAACTTTGCAAAGGCATAGAAGCAAGTCACAGTTATGTAATTAATGAATCTTTATTAAAAAGTGTAAAATAGTATTAGAATGGAATTTGCAGGGAGCATGTGGTACCACGAACAGACAGAAACCAAAGGGAAATATCTGTAATAAAGCTATTGTGGACAACTTTCCAAAGAAGTGATTTTGGTTTTGCACTGAGAATATTTGAATGTACATGCCCCCCTTCCTACTGACACTAGGATCAAAGTCACTCCAGATGAGAGAGAGGGCCCAATGCCGAGGACAGTAGATGTGGCCTGTGGGTTCGGTTTAATTCTCACCATTGACCGTGATTCCAGCCCTACTCTCAAAGGAGACTTTTTTTTTTTTTTGCATGTTGTACAAGTTAAAGAGAGCCCTTCTCTCTTTGTATTCAAACACTTCCGGTCTTCCAAAAACATCAAAGAATTAATATGGCTATCACACCAATCAGAGGCCACGGCATCATTCTTTCATAAAGCAACTGATTCTTTAAGATGAAAGGTAGTATTCTAGCCCTGTTTCACCTAGATAATTGCTTTAATTGTCCAGTACACCATGGATAAAGAGGCTCTTTTCTGAAAATATAAAGTGTATCTTATAAATTGGAAGCATGCTAAAACGGAGACATCCAAAGTAAAGAAAACATCCTGCTGGACTGCAGTCCTCCTGAAGATGTGGAAATGTGCTTCTCCCTCTCTTCTTGTTCTTCTCTCACCCCCGGCGCAGCTTACCCTGCCCGGCGTGGGGTGCTCACTGAGTGGGGGATTGACCACAGGTGATCTCGGATGTGCTGGGACCTGTTGTTCACAGAAATTCAGGCGAAGAAAATAAAGCGTATCATATTTGCAAGATGTGTCAGGAAGCGTTTATACTGTTTATAATAAAAAGGATATTTTCAACAGACATTATTATATAGTACATTTTGTCTTTTGGTGTAATTTTAGGCTTTCTTCACACAAAGAGGATCCATTTAAATTATTCCTTTTTCTTGCCCATATTTCTTGGTGAATGTAATTCACTCACTGTTTTGCTTTGTTTGTTTGTAGAAAGACTACATTCAGAATTAAGAAGTAACTGTCCCAGGCCATGTTAACAGGAGCTCTGCCAGGGTTTGGTCGGCCTCGGGCTGATGGGCCCACTTCCCCAGGCGGAGCTCACAGTTCCTCAGACTCTGCCCTGCTGGGAGCACTATTTGGAAATGAGGTGGGAAGAACACTAGATTGGGAGCGAGGAAGATTGGGTTCTAATGTGTACCTTGAAGCTCTTGGGGCCTGACTCTCTTGAGGTTTAAAACGAGACTATTGCACATTGATGAAGTTGGGAAATACTGGGGAGGCAGGGAACTGTCATGAGGAAGACAAACACTCTCTGGGAACCTCAGGGTCCCCTGAGCGTAAGACTAAGTTCCTTCTGTTTTCCTAAAGACTGTCCATCCCCAGACATTTAGTAAGTGTCTGTTAAAGGTCAGGCAGCTAAGATGTTGAGATGAACTAGAAAAACTTGCTCTCTACCCCCTAAGAACTTATATCCTACAATGGAGGCAAAATGATTAAAATTTAGTAAGTTAAGTGATTTTGACAGGAGAATGACCGGTTACTGTAGGTGCAAGGAGGGCTGCTGATTGTTTCCTCCCAGGCACCCTTCAGAGTCAGTCTCTGCACTGTTCACCTTCCTGGAATGTGTCATAAGATTCTTCTAAGGCTTGCTATTGGAGTAGAAATGCCCATCCACCCATCCACCCGCCCACCCATCCATGAACACATCCATCCATCCCATCCATCCATCATCCATCCATCCACCCATCCATCCACCCACCCATCCATCCACCCAACCACCCATCCATGAACACATCCATCCATGAACACATCCATCCATCCACCCACCCACCCATCCACCCAACCATCCATCCACCCACCCACCCATCCACCCACCCATCCATCCATCCATCCATCCATCCATCCATCCATCCATCCATCCCATCCATCCATCATCCATCCACCCACCCATCCATCCACCCATCCACCCGCCCACCCATCCATGAACACATCCATCCATCCCATCCATCCATCATCCATCCATCCACCCATCCATCCACCCACCCATCCATCCACCCATCCATCTATCCATCCATCCATCCATCCATCCATCCATCCATCCACCCATCCATCCATCATCCATCATCCATCCACCCATCCATCCATCATCCATCCATCATCCATCCATCCATCCATGCAGTAAATAGTAATTGAGCACCTATGCTGTGTCAGGAACTTAAGTAGATGCTGTGGACACATGGAAAAGGAAAACATTATTACTTTCTTGGGACTCAAAGTCTGGTTGGGGAGATGGGTATTAATCAAATAAGTACGAAATACAACTATGATAAATGCCATAAAGAAAAGAACATGGTACTCCAGTAAGAGGGATTTTCCCTTCCATGTGGATGGGGCGAGGGGCACAGGAAGGTGGCTCGAGAAAGTCCTCACAGGGGAAGAGACACCCCAGCAAATATCGAAGGCGAATACAATGAGGACAGTGAAGGGAATCAGGGAAAGGGCTCCCGATTCAGCCCTTCAGACTACAGAGGATTTTCTGGAGCCGAGTAGAGAGCGACCGGCGTGTTTGTGATGATTTCCGCAGAGTGCGGGTGGGTGACATCCTGACCCTCCTGTTTCCCGATGCTCCATAAGAATGGATGGTTTTCTCCCTGATAAACAAGCAAACAAACAAAAAGCTTATTGATGGTGAAAGCCTGTCGGTTAAAAAAATGCAGAGAGATCATTCTAAGTCAGGACGGGCACGTGTTCTGAGAGGCGGCGGGCGCGTGTCCGTGAGGAGCGCGGCGGAGGCGCCTCTCGGCCTGGGGCCCCGCGGCCCGCCCGGCCCGGTACAAGGCCGCTCCCCGCCCCCAGGCCGGTCTCACGCCGAGGACTCTGCGCAGGAACGGCTGCTTTAGAACAGCACTCGTGGGACGTGCTCCTCAGACCAGCAGCAGCCCCGGGACGTGCGAGGGCCCCCGACGGCGCCCGGCCACGCCCGCGGCGGACCGCCCCCCACCGGAAGTCTGCGCTTCGGCGGCCCTTCCGGTCCCACAGGCCCTTCCGGTCCCACAGGAAGCGGCCCGAGGGGCGCGGTCCGGAAGACGGGCTAAGATGGCGGAGGCTCTCGGGGCTCCTGAGCTGGGCTCGGCCCTCCAGCGTGGCCATTTACCCAGTTATTCTGAACCGCCAGGAATCAGTCGGACTTCTGAGAGAACACAACCTGCAAGTCTACCAGCAGAAAAGCGGCGGCCCTTTGGAAGGCAGGAGGTGCAGAAGTTCACGGGGGCGGGGGGGGCCGAGCCCGCGGGGCGCAGCAGCGGCGGCGGGGATGGGGCGGCGTACGGAGACCGCCGCAGGGCCTTGGAAGCGGCCGGGGCAGGACGGAGTCCCGTGGCGTGGGGACGCCCCGGCTGAGAGGTGCTCGGGCGGCGAGCGGCCGGCCCCGGGAGTGACAGGGCAGTCGGAGGAGCCCTGGGTCTCGGGCAGCAGGGGGTGGGGGCACCGGGGTGCGGCGTTGCTCCCGGGCACAGGGGCCAGAAGCCCGCCCAGAGCGGTGAGCGGAGGTGCTGGCTTTTTCTGCTAGAAACTGCGAGCCGCCCGCGGTCCTGCTGCCGCTTCCTGGGACCGGCGGGCGAGCGGGGGACATCCTCCTCGCAGGAACCGCGCCTGCGCCGCGTCATCCCTGAAATCTGGAGTTTTGAAACTCGGTCACACACCTGAGATAAAAAACCTCCGGCAGGGGCACAGAACGCAGGGTTCAGGCGGAGACCAGGGAGACGGATAGGGTGACTGCTTTTCTATGGGGGCTCACGGAGCAGTGGGGGGCACGGGCTTTCAGCTCTGGGGCTAGAGGGCAGGGCGCCGCCATCTGCGTCCCTCCCGTCAGCGCTGGAAGCCTTCAGGGAACAAAACAGCGCCACCCGGTGGAGGCTGGGTGGTGCATCCCGAGCCCCGCCTCCCCGCGCCCTGGAGGTGCGTGTCCCTGAAACCCGCCTGAGAGTCCACGCAGCGGGCCCCTCCCCCAGGAGACCAGCACGCACAACTCGCTGGCACCGAGTTTACCGATCACGGAGGGCTGCAGACGTTCAGCTCCAGGGGAAAGAGGACCGACCTTCCTTTCTACTTTTATTCATTATTTCCTTTATTATTTTTTTCATTTATTTTCTTATAGTTTCCAAATCCTTTTAAAAACATTAATTTATTTAATTTTAATTTTTTTTAAAGATTTTATTTGACGGAAACACAGCTAGAGAGGGAACACAAGCAGAGGGAATAGGAGAGGGAGAAGCAGGCTCCCCGCTGAGCAGGGAGCCTGATGTGGGGCTCAATCCCAGGACCCTGGGATCATGACCTGAGCCGAAGGTAGACGCTTAACGACTGAGCCACCCAGGTGCCCCTATTTAATTTTAATTTTTACATAAATACTTTTTGTAAAAAAATGTTTTTGTTTACTTTTATCTTATTTTTGGGGGGACCTAGATTCTTTTAACAAGCTGAACAAAACATATGCAGGATCTAGTTTTTCTTGTTTTTGTTTTTCTTGTTAATTTTCTTTTTCTTTTTTTTTGTTTTGTTTTATGTTTTGTTGTTTTTTCTCTTTATTCATTTCTTTTCTGGACAAAATGATGTGATGGAGGAATTCACCCAAAAAGAAAGAACTCAAGAAGTCATGGCCAGGTATTTAATCAATACAAATAAAATTAAGTTGTCTGAACTAGAATTTAAAACAATGATTATAAGGATACTAGTGGGCTTAAAGAAAGCATAGAAGACACTAGAGAATCCCTTACTG